TGCGGTTCGCCGATGCCCTGATTTGCTTCCAAAATCCAGCCCAACTGTAACCCCTTCTTCTTCCTTCCTTCCAACCCGCACAGAGATTCGTGCGCTCGATCGGCTCACGGTGCGTCTCGTCAGAAACGAATTGTAGGGAACATTCGTTCCCCATATTTTCCGAAAAAGTTTGGTCTCTCCTTCTCCGACCTCTCCCGCAACCTCTTCCTACTCGGAGGCGATTCTCTGGCAACTGCGGCAGCGCTGGAGACGGGGTGGACGGCGGCGGCACAACCACCCAAAGGAGGTGGACGCTGCTCCAGCCTCACCGCCCTGAGCAGGGCTGCGGCGCTGTTACCGCACACTATTGAGGCGATTGGCTGCAGACAGTGGCAGCGGCGGGGTGGAGAAAGAGCTTCCTCTCCTGCTCGTAGAGGACAGAGTGGGTTTGTTCTGTCTCTCTCTTCCTGTCATGGTAAAATTTGTTAAGAAAGTTCTTTTTACTCTACTATAGGCAGAAGTCAGTCAAATCGAAATGTCCACCCAAATGAACCATGTAGGTTCTGGCTGTTTCAGCTGATGAAGTCACCTTAGAGCAACTTTAATGGGGCGACCCATTTTATCCGCGGTCGTCCGTTTGAGTCGGCGCGGATAGAAAAGGCGGCCCAACGCGCCGACTCAAACGGACGCGCGTCCGTTTTTCGTCCGCGGGCGACCCATTTCCGGTCTATTTTTAAGCCTGATTTGCGTCGACGCGGACACGCGAAGGACACGCGTGCGGTCGCCTACTCCTATCCCCGGGCCCGCTGGTCTGTGGCACATTGGCCTCCTTCCCCCGGCCAACAAGCAACCCTCGCCCCCCGCCTTCTCCATCACCGATGCCGCAGCCCATTTTTGCGGCGACTCTTCCAGCTGCCGCCGCCTCCACATCCGCCCAGCAACGCCGCCCCTGCCCCCAGTCGTCCGCCGCCGTCGGAGAGCAAACTAGTTCCCGCTGCCGCTTCCCCCACCGCACAGCCGCCCGCGACCAAGAAGACGCCTTGCCGCCCCCGCTACATACGACCGGCACGCTCATCGGACGCCGTCACACTCGTTGGACGCCGGCAGGGCAGCTAGCTGGTCTGTGGGCGCCGCGTCTCCCCTCGCCGGCCGTCTCCTTCTTCGACGCCCGCAAGCTGTTCGACAGTTTGCCAAGGTATGAAAATGAACTCCGTCGACGAGTTCTTTTTCCACAATTTCATTTGCGACTCCGACGATTCGTCGTTCGACAACGAGGAGAAGATATTGGCTGCCATGTTGGTCCATCACCACCTCAACAACCAGTGGCCGTTGTTCCGTGGCTCCATTTCGGGCCACCTTCCGGCGTTTAATCGTAACCGAGAGAGCGGGCATTTCCTTCTCTGGAAGGACTACTTTGATACAACAAACCCGTTGTTCAAACATCACAAATTCCGCCGCCGGTTCCGTATGAATAGACATGTTTCCAACCGTATTAGAGAGGGAGTGGTCGGCTATGATGACTACCTCGAGTGCAAAGAGGATGCCGTAGGCAAGATTGGTTTATCCTCTTATCAGAAATGCAATGCCGCCATCCGAATGCTTGCATACGGAGTGCCTGGTGATCTCATTGACGAGTACGTCCGTATGAGCGAGTCTACATGCCTAGAGTCCCTGTATAAGTTCTGCAAGGCTGTGATTGCTATGTTTGGCCCTGAGTACTTGAGAGAGCCGATAGCTGCAGATACAACCCATTTATTGGTAATGAATGCTAGCAGGGGCTTCCCGTGGATGCTTGGCAGCATAGACTGCATGCACCGGGAGTGGAAGAATTGCCCTTCTGCTTGGCAAGGGCAGTATAAGGGACATGTCAGGGTTTGCACTGTCATACTAGAGGCCGTGGCGTCTCAAGATCGCTGGATCTGGCACTTTTTCTTTGGCATGACTCGATCACACAATGATATCAACGTGCTTCAGCGCTCGCCGGTGTTTGCTAGGCTTGCCGAAGGGAACAACCCACTAGTGAACTTTACTGTCAACGGCCACAACTACGACAAATGGTACTATCTGGGTGACGGTATCTATCCTCAGTGGACCACTATTGTAAAGACAATACCCAACCCTGTTGGAGAGAAAAGAAAAAGATTTGCCCAAGAGCAAGAGAGTGCTAGAAAGGATGTCGAGCGTGCCTTTGGTGTTTTGCAATCTCGATGGGGCATCGTTCGGTATCCTGCTAATACTTGGAGCACGTAAAAACTATGGGAGGTGATGACTGCTTGTGTGATCATGCACAATATGATCGTAGAAGACGAGCGCCCGGAACGTCTGTACAATCAAGGCTTCCAGTTTCAGGGTGAGAATGTTGTGCCTGAGCATGGAGTAGCGGCAACATTTGAGCGGTTCACTCAGTTTCATGAAGACATGCGTGATTGGGAAACTCACGTGCAACCGCAAAATGATTTAGTTGAGCATATGTGGACTCATGTTGGCAACCAATTTTTTTTTAGAAAAAGAGGATGACCCTGGCCTCTGCATCTGGAAGATGCATACGACCACTTTATTAATTATTCTCGAGGACCTTACAAAGTATTACAAACAATAGATCCGAATCCACCATCTTGGCAACATATGTCGCTACTCTTATCCATATGATGAAGGGATGCTAGCTGGGCCACTACCCAAACCACTCACCTAAACCTAACATCAAAAGCCAGAAGCCCCAGCCGAGCCACATACCCGGTCTGGGGCACAATCCGGTCAGACACACTCTTGTGTCGTCTCCGCCATCTTCCACAAGTCCGTCTTCAGATTATATTGAGTCTTCTACTTTGTGAAGGCCACTTCTGCCATCGACGTCACCATGACGCCAAACAGCTACCCCTCCTGCGCGAGTCCATCTCCGCGCATCTGACGCCGAGCCTCAACAGCGTCATGCCACCGATCTCCGCCGTCATCAATGAGTGAGATGAAGAACCGCTCCACCACGACAAGTACAAGGTGAGGAAGGGCGAGGTCGCCATCGGAAACACGGCTGGAAGATAAGCATCACAGTCACGAGACATGCCCGGAGCAGCGACGCGGTAGATCAGACAGGCCGCCACCAGGAACCAGATAAGCTCGCCATGTACACTCAGCATCCCCATGCCCAAGTCGGCGCCTTCAAGAAGGTGACAACGTTGTGGCACCGTCGCCGCTTAGCCACCGGGGCTAGGGTTTTCACCCGGGCGCGGGGGAAGGGGAGAGGCAGGGGAGGTTTAGCCTCGGCGCCGCCACCAAGGAGGGAATGGCGTCCGGGACGCCATCGACGTCGTGACCGCCACCGGCGGCCAAGGGTTTCCCCCGGCCAAGCACCCTGCCGCCACCTCCGAACCAGACACAACATTAGCAGGCGCGTGCACGCCGGAGATCCAGGCTGGCCGGAGGTCATGCAACACGAGCGGACCAGATCGCCTCCGATTTGACGAGGGGAGCCCGGGGCCTCCCCGCGCCATGACCAGCGCCCACCGGGACCTCGCTGCCCGCGCAGCCGAGGAGATCTGTTCTACCTCACCGACAAGCACTCCCCGCCGCCGGGGGAGCGTCGTCCGCCCCAGCGAGGCCGCTGCCTCAGATCAGCCGGCGCGGATCTGACCAGAACAAGCACCACCGCGAAGAACACTGCGC